ATAGCAAATACAATCACCAGTAAGGCCACTCTTACAGGCTGAGTCTCCTTTATCTGAAATTTCAAAATCTGAAATGCTCCAAAATCCAAAACTGTCCACATAAGTGGCTGAGATAGGGGCACTATTCTGTTCTGATGGTTCAATGTAACAGTTTGTTTCATGTGCAAAATTATTAAAATATTGTGTATAAAACTACCTCCAGGCTATGTGTATAATAAGGTGCATATTGTTCTTGTGTGCCTTCAAGTCATTTCTGACTTAAGGTGATCCTAAGGCGAAACAGAAATGAATTTCATGTTTAGACTTGGGTCCCATCGCCAAGATGTCTCATTATGTATATTCAAAAATTCCAAAATCTGGAAAAAAATCCAAAATCCAAAACACTTCTGGTTCCAAGCATTTCAGATAAGGGAGATTCAACATGTCTCTGCTTTTATTGTAACTTTCTGCCCTTTTTAAGCTGCCTCAGGTCCCTCACTGGGAGAAAGGTGGGATATAAATAAAAGGATGGATGCATAAATAATTGGATCCATTCTAGAAAGTTTGCATATTCAGTATCTGGTGAATGAAAAGCCTTACAGCTTTATTCAAAGCTGGATAATTAACTGCTGGCATCCCCATTGCAAAAAGATGGCCAGCATGGTATGGTGGCTTGAGCACTGAACTATATGACTCTAGAGACCAGGATTCGAATTCTAACTCATCTATGGAAACCCACTGGGTGATCTTGGGTAAGTCACACACTCTCAGCCTCAAAGGAACCTGCCAAGAAAGCCCCATGAACCTTAGAGTTGCCTCCCACATGAAGAGGCATCTTCCAAAACTTTTGCATTAATTTACCCTCTGGATGTTGCTGGCCTGAAACTCTGTACAGCCTAGCCATCATGGAGGAATGATGGGCATTGCAGTCCAACAGCATTTGGAGGGCCACCTAAATTCCCACCACTGATTTACAGTTGGGAAAAAAGGAGGGGTTTTAAAAACCTTTCTGTTCAGAATCAAGTAACTGAGAGACTGAATCCAGCCAGCTTCCAGATCAGAATCCAATTTTCACCATCTGGCTCATATTAAAATGTATTATCTGCTGACCAAAGCTAGCAATTGGTCAAGCAATGCTTGCCAAGTGCATTCTCCACAGCAATCCTAATACAATTAGGTTCCCATTTCACAGATATTTCCAGACAAGCAGCCAAAGCTTGAGTGTGCCCACAAATCATTTTTATTGAAGTCCATCCCACCATTTTAAAAAGTTAAGTATATACCGTATGCAGTTGTAGCCATACAAGAACGGTCTTACCAATCTGAACCAAAGCTTCACCTACTTCTTAAGTGTGTTAGAAACTGTATTGGGAACAGTATTTTTGTATTGTATAACTCAGCATTCGCTCTAATAGAGTGATAAACCACATATGTAATTTGTATGTATGTTTAGCCTAGAGAAGAGTAGGTTAAGAGGTGATATAATAGCCCTGTTTAAATATTTGAAGGGGTGTCATACTGAGGATGGAGCAAGCTTGCTTTCTGCTGCCCCAGAGAATAGGACACAGAGCAATGGATGCAAACTGCAGGAAAAGAAATTCCACCTAAACGTTAGTTATTAAGAACATCCTGACAGTACGAGCTGTTCAACAGTGGAAAACATTTCCTTGAAGAGTAGTGGAGTCTCCTTCTTTGGAGGTCTTTAAACAGAGGCTGGATGGCCATCTGTCGAGGATGCTTTGATTGTGAGTTCCTGCATGGCAGAATGGGTTTGGACTGGATGGCCCTTGGGGGTCTCTTCCAACTCTATGATTCTCTATGTATTCCTGCATAACAGAAGAGAGTTGGACTGGATGGCCTTTGGGGCATCCCTTCCCACTAGGATTCTCTGATTCTATGTATTCCTGCATGGCAGAAAGGGGTTGGACGGGATGGCCCTTGGATCCCTTCCAACTCTTATGATTCTATAATTATTTTAGATTATCTACTGTTGTATTGTTTGGACCCTGCCTTGGAATATTTGGATATAGGATGGGATATAATTTATCTGATGATGTAGCATAGTGGTTTCAGAGTTGGACTAGGATTCTGGAAGACCAGGGTTCGAATTCCAGCTCGGTCATGTAAACCCACTTGGAGACCTTGGGCAGGCTACAGTCTCTCAGCCTCAGAGGAGGATGGCCATGGCAAACCCCTTGTCAAGAAAACCTATGAGAGGGTCGCCGTAAGTCGGAAAGGACTTGAAGCCACACAGCAGCAGCATTTCTCTGAGGACTTGAGTAGTGCTGTTTATGGTTGCACAACATCCATAACACTTTGCAAAGACACAAAAGCCAAGTCTCAAAGAAGGTGGAGTCTCCTTCTTTGGAGGTTTTTAAACAGAAGCTGGATGGCCATCTGTCGAGAGGGCTTTGATTGTGTCTTCCTGCATGGCAGAATAGGGTTGGACTGGATGACCCTTGGGGTCTCTTACAATTCTATGATGCCAGGACTCTATGCTCCAAGGACCTTACAATTCTGACAGCTAGATCTTGGAATATCTTTGTCAGATGTACAAAGGGAGACACACAGGTTGCAAAGGGGTGCATACAAGGATAGTGGTTGCACTTGTTCCTTTATGACCTTAGCAGCAAGAACTGATAAATGCCAGGTAAAAAGAGCTGAATATTCTTTGCCTTGCAAAACCCTAAAGCTCCATAGCTTTGGTGTTTGTTTCTATGCACCACTGCAGCAGGGTTTTTTACGACTGCAGATAGATATTATTTTTTATTATCTTGTCGTCAGCACCAAGAGGCACAGGGACAATCGAGGAAGGGAGCCGTAATCCACATAAAACGATGGTTACGCCTTAGTCTTTAAGGCGCCACAAACCTCTTTGGAGTTAGGAGGGGAAACTTGTATATAAACATAATGAGGAGACATGCCTCCGAGCTGGGCTTTTATAGCACTGCAGTGCCAAGAGAAATTACATCCAGGCAATTTCATCATCATCATCATCATCATCATTATTATTATTATTATTATTATTATTATTATTATTATTATTATTATTGACGCAGGTACGCAGCCAAGGACACAGGCTGGGTTTTGAGGACGATTTGGAGTGGAGGATTTTTGCAAAAATAAAAATCACAAAGAATCTCAGACCCAGACCCTGAGATCCAAATACTGGATCCATGACCGAAAAAGGATAAAGAAATAATACCATGGAGGGAGAAAAAAATTACATACCTTTTTAATGGATGCTTTTGTTTTGGGTTTTGTTTTGTTTTTGGAAACAAAGACAAATCTAAGCAGCTTGGTGTAGAGAGGTTAGAATGGTGGACTAGGATTTGGAAGATCTGGGGTGCATCTACACTGTAATGTAGTTTTGATTCCACTTTTTGGAGTGCTGTAGCTACATCCTAAAAGAGAGCCAGTGTGGCATACTGGTTTGAGTACTGGACAAAGACTCTGGAGGAGCAGGGTTTGAAACCTGGCTTGGCCATGCAAAACCCACTGGGTGATACTGGACAAGTCACACTCTCTCAGCCTCAAAGGATGATGGCAACAGCAAACCTTCTCTGAATAAACTTGCCAAGAAAACTCCTGGATAGGTTCGCCTTAGAGTCGCCATAAGTCAGAAATGACTTGGAGGCTCACAACAACAACAAACAACAAAG